CCCCTCGTAACAATTACACGCTATGCAGCTGTGTGAGTTGACAAATCAAATATCTTATAAAATTTTTATGAATAGGCACATACTAGTTTCTGCTTTTTTCCACTTTTCTGTATTTTCACTTTCACGGTATTTTTTACTGGGATACGCTATTATATCTTTCTCAGTACTCTAAGTTCGTGAAATTTCAGCGCAAACTTAGAACATCTTTTATAAGAAGCCAACATATTCTTTTGCTAGAATTTTTTTCCAAGTTTCCGAAATATCTCTTTTTAGGCCTTCTTTTGTCAAGTACTAGAATATCCCTCAACAGTTTTCTCGCAAGTATATAATTTCTTTAAGGATAACGGGATGATCTCCAGGACAGCTGTCTGAAAATTTTGAACAAGCTTCCATAAATGAATGGAAATTCAGGAGTCAAAAAAAGATAAGGAAACGAACCATATCTGGGCAAAAATTCGCATTCCTCGAAGATCGGGGTTGTGATGAAAGTGAACATGGAGAATGGCGCCTGAGGACTATTGCATCGATCCAGGGTGGTGCATCCGCACACCGTGTTCCGTTTCTTCCGATAGCAATAAGCTTTACCTCGGAAAAATGCGCGTGTGTTGTCATCCACGGTAACGCAACCCGAAACGAGAGTCTCATTGTAGAAATTATTCACTACTGCAAATCACCGCATGCTTCGCTGACAGTTTCGAAAAAGCTTAAAAGTGACGAAGCAATATGTTGGAAAGATATCAAAAATTTTAAAATCGAAAACTCACAAGCAAATATAATGAGGGATTTTTTTAAGAGTTTTTTCAATAAAAGCGTTATCCATTCACTTACTGTTAAGACCGTTAAAGCTCTTTCGTCCAATAACTTAAGACATTGTAATTTTAAAACAAAAGAGCTCGCCTTTGGAAAAGCTTTTATGTGGTCAAAATTTCCGGGATTGAAGTTCCAGGTTTTGTACATATGTAGGGCTAAAAGAAAATTTTTGCTCGAAAAATTCACAAACCAATATAACAAATTTCTCCATAACAATTTTCCGGGCAAATTCTGGTCCCTGATTCACTTGTATGGGGCAAATAATCGCATTCTGCGCATTTAATGCATGCCACATATTCCGTTACGCACGCCAGAAAGGTCACCAACGCCAAACATCCTTTCATTGCTAGAAAAAATGAACTTTTAATTTGACACCAGTTTTTTTAGTTGTATTTGATAATGAAGATTTGTGGAAGAAACCGTTCTATCGAATAAATTGAAAACCTGGCGCTTGATGGTTTGGCCAGCTGTTATCTCATAGCTGGTTCTCCAACTATGAAGCTGGCAGCTTTTCCAGTTGCTCTGGCTGATACTGCACTAACTATTGGTCAGTCTGCTGGCGGCTCTCACGTTTGTTTCGTCTTCTGATTTTTCTTGTCAAACAGTAACGTGAGGTAAAAGCAGCATCTCATTTCAGAGTGCTATTTTCTGCATTTCTTCAAAGCAATTTACATGATTAGAAAATCTTGTACGTTGAAAGCTAAGCTATTTGCTAGTGCTTGTTCAGAAGCAGCTAACTTTTCAAATGACCTCCTGAAAGTTAAAACTCAAAAAAATCGTATTTAATGACTCGTTCGCTTTCGTGTTGCTGAAGCTAAAGAATGTGAGATACATACAGTTAAAGCTTGGAAGTCCGCATCGGATCGGAGGATAAGCAAAACTGAAATTAAACTTCAATTTGCCTATTGAACACCAAAAAAAAAGGTTAAATTAACGCAAATATCCATCACATACCGTAAAAAGTTGTTGTAACCTTCGCCTTCCAAGGATGAATTCCAGAATCAATGCTAACACGAACATTGCTCACCAAAGGACAGTAGTGCAACACTTTTTTCAGTATTTCTTCGCCACTGAGTAACCACTGGGTTAAGAAGACACTACGAACATGCATTCCTTACAAACGTGCCCAAACATGATCGGTGTTTGCTTAACATCACAAATGAAAATTTACTAAAGTTAAAAGAGTGCCGCAGTAGTTCCAGCCCCGACTAGGTTAAGGTCTAAATCCTCAAATTTCAGCTTTCTAGCTTATCCCCTCTAGCAATGTGATAATGATTACATTTATACAAACACACGTAGGGTTTTTTGATTATTTTTGCATCTGCATAAATATAGAAAACGCTCAAAAAGCGCATTTAAATGAATACTCACAAATTTAAGTACATGCGCCTGCTTTGATTCTAAAAAGCAAGAGCTTGGAAGTTGAAAAAATTGGAAATGTGCCTTGTTTACAGAAGCATAAAGCTAGAATCCCCTATGTATCTCACCTTTAACCGCAAGCCCAAATTCATGGTTCGAAAGTGAAAATTACTCTTGATTGATTACAGTTCCAGTCTAGCGAAAAAATTGAGACAAGCGGCTCAAATTAAGCTTCCAAAGACCAAATCATCTCACGCTTTGATCACAAGATGAAATTTTACTTAAATTTATTATTTCCGAACCTCACAAATCAGACGTTAAACGAAACCAGGGTCATCAGCATGATGACGTTAAGCAGTGGTCAGCGAATCTGGTACTACAGTCAGATTCTTTGAACCGCAGCTGATGAAGGCACCAAAGTAATTACGCTGTCGAAATAACTGGTTGCTTTTGTCAAGTAAAATGGATTCTCACCGTGGGTCCTCCTGTATGCTAAGAGCGCCACTTGAGGATCACAGGGCCATAGTGCCGACTGTCCGGAAAAGGGATGGATGCAAAATTGCAGCAACCTCCCGAGGCCTGAATTCCTATAGTGGATCGCCCAGCTGGATCACCAAAAACGAGTTTTCCCATCCTCTTGAAATGAGTGAACCGGAAACTGCACACCTCTACCGGTCGGCTCTGTTCTGCATTTGGTCCGAATATCTCTATACTGCAATATGTTGCTGATGGCTTATCCGTATGCTCATTCGTCAAAAAAAAAGCAAATTTATGATTGGCAATGAGGCGTATCGCAGCCGAAATTTGCGCCACAAAAACACATGGAGCCTGTCGAAAGAAATACATTCTGCAGGAAATGTATCTCTTTCTACAGGCTCCACGTGTCTTTCGACAGGCTCCACACTGACAAACATTTCTGTAGGAATTGCATTTGGACAAAATTTTTTTTAAAGCCCTCACACAATGGAAGAATTTTTATGCTTTTTTGCATTTTTATGTAAAACGTAAAAAATGCTCGACTCTATCGGCATTTTGTATGGACCCTGAGTTCGTAGACGCGAAATCTTCAAATGCAACACTTTTGTTAACTTTTTTTTTTCAGCCATCAGACAGTCAAAAGAGGGAAGATTTTACAAAAGTGCTAGTGTTATGCATGGCAGAAAAAATTCAGCTTTTTTAAATAAGCCCTATGTGCGGATGCAATGAGCTTGAGGGTGCATTTTGCCGACAACAACTTTATGAAAAATTCATGGTAATCATAGAATTTGGAGGTCAAAATTCCGGTGGCTCCATGATGCAACAACACCGTTCTAGCCGATGCCCCTTTCCCCCTTGCATACAAGAAAACGCCAATACATTGCCAACGCGTGTGAAATCACTGAACTGTAAAGCAGCAACCATTCACACTATTAATAATGGTCGCGCGGGGATCCTGGTACGCATTGCTACCTGGATTTATAAAATATAAAGGTGGAAAATGACAGAAGCATGGTGTGCTAGCAAATAGTATTTCACTTCGTATTTTCAGTTTTTGTCACTGTATGTGTTATTCAAATTTGTGTCATCACTGGAAGAGCTCTAGGACGAGCGATTGTTTTTCAGACTTGAGCGCGTGCTGCAGGCGCTGTGCAGCGGAAGCTATCAATGGATTCACATGCGAAACCCTCTGCAGCTGCTTTTCGTGAAATAAACGAAGAACTGTCATTGTTTTTCGTGTAAAATTTCATAAAGTGTTCCTGTCCTGAAAAAAAAGATCATTTGTTTCAGATTAATGAGTTTTAGATTTGGGTCTTACCTAATTCCCGGTCATTGAAGTGTTTCATCACTGATTATGAAGTGACAGATTTCGAGCTAGGATGGTGATAATACTTTACAGCGGTGATGACACCTCAAAAGAGCCAGAAATCTGCCAAAGTAGCTTTTACCGGGAAAGCAGTGAGCCAGTATTTTCTTCAGGAAACAAAACAAAGGCTAAGATCTCCATCAAATTGAACAACAGCTGATGCAGCATTGTTCAAGGTAATTGCATGGCTGGAGAAAGGCTCTACTAATTACAGCTAATCAAAGTATCAAATTAAGTATCGTATATACTACACACGTTTAGAATTATGCATGCCCACGTTTTGCAAAAAAA